TAAATTCAGGTGGGATATATTCAAGGTCATATTTTGGCTCTCGTGGTCTTGCTTTCATTTTCTTCAGCCTCATTTTGAATTTGCATACGAGTAATTGATTTGTCTGTTCCACAGTCTGCCCCTGGCCTTGTTTTGACTGATGATATGGAGTTTTTCCATTGTCTCTTTCCACAGATGTAGTCAATTTGACTTCTATGTATTCCATCTGGTGAGGTCCATGTGTATAGTCATCTCTTATGCTGTCTAAAGAAGGTCTTTAAAATGAACAAATGATTGGTTTTGCAGAAATCTATCATGCAATCTCCAGCATCATTTTAAAAAATGTTTTATTGTGGATTATATGATAGTTTACATGGGAGAATATTAGTTTTACATTCATTCTATCGTATATGGTTTCATTGTCTCCATCATTTTTATCACCAAGGCCATATTTTCCAACTACTGATCCTTCCTCTTTGCTCCCAACCTTTCCCTCCAATCACCAGTAATGATTAATGCATCTTGATTGCATGTTTGATCAATTTTAGATTGAAGAAGTTGGTAGAATTCTTCTATTTCATCCTCACTGACTTTAGTGGTTGGTGTATAAATTTGAATAATAGTGGTATTAGCTGGTCTTCCCTGTAAGCACATGAGTATTACTCTATCACAGACAGTGTTGTGCCTCATGACTGATCTGGATATGTTCTTTTTGACAATGAATGCAATACCATTCCTTTTCAATTTGTCATTTCCGGCATAGTAAACCATGTGGTTGTCAGATTCAAAATGGCCAATACCAGTCCATTTCAGCTCACTAATCCCTAAAATATCGATGTTTATGTGTTCTATTGCATTTTTGACAAGTTCCAATTTTCCCAGACTCATACTTCGTACATTCTATGTTCCAATTTTCAATGGATGTTTACAGCTGTTCCTCTTCATTTTGAGTTGTGCCCCATCAGCAAATGAAGGTTCTGTGGGCTTTTCTCCCACGAGCTTAACTCCATTCACCTCATCATGGTCACCTCTACTTTGAGGAGGCAGCGCTTCCCTAGTCGCATTTTGAATGACTTCCAACCTGAGTTGCTCATTTTCCGGTACTATATCTGACAGTGTTTCTCTGCTATTCATAAGGTTTTCAGTGACTAAATATTTGGAAGTAGTTTGTCACTCCTTCTTCCTAGTCTGTCTTCATCTAGAAGCTCATCTGAAACCAGTCCACCATGGGTGACGCTGATGGCATTTAAAATACCGGTGGTGTAGCTTTCAGAATCACAGCAACTCACAAGCCACCACAGTATGACAAACTGACAGATGAGTGGTGGATAATTTAAGAGTTTTTTATCCTTTCAGCTGTTTTTACATGAAATGGATTGCAGTCATTGAAATGAAACAGAGTTTATGATTCATTGAATATAAAACCATTGGTCCTGTCTGTAAACCTTTGCTCAATTCCCAATAAAAAGTAGGAAAAAAAAAAGAAGAAGAAAAAGAATTAAACCCTAGAAATTGAAAAGTTAAAAAGAAGATGAACTGAGCCTTGGTACCTCACAGAAGGTCCTTCATTGCAATAGAGTTTACCCACCTTGTTCACTTTTGTGCTGATGATGCCCCTTCAGTGCCTGGCACTTAACAGATGCTTACTAAATTCTTGTTGAATGGAAGGATGAATTGACAATTTAAGATTGTACTGAATAAATGAGTTTACAGGGCAGCTGGGTTTTTTTATTATGGCCCTTTTAGCTAATTTTCTCCATTCTGTGATAGATGATAAAATCTAACCTCTGTGCCTGTGATTATGGACCCATTTTGAAGTGAGTTGCTAAGAAATGATGGTTACAGTGGGGCTAAGGAGGAAGGATTACAGTGCAACTAGGAATTAAGGATGACCCCACCTTACTACATGGTATGACGCAAGTCACTACCCTTATGTTCCCTGATTGGGGAACCTAATGTTGAGAACTTTAAGGCTACCGATGGAAGGTACTTTTCCCTTCTGCTGAGCACAGCTCTCCAAGCTTCCTTGGGAAACTCCCCTTCAGTCCATGACACAGATTTAGCCAATTAGAAACTCTCAATCCCCTGATGACAGTGATTGGCTCAAAGATGGGCATGTGACCCAATAGAGCCAATGAGACTCAATTGCAGGGCATGGTAGCCATCATGCCATCCCAAGGGTAGAGCCTGTCTGAGAAGGGAGCCCACCCAGAGGAAAGGAGGGCCAAGAGATGGAACAAAGAGAAAAAGTATTGATTTCCTAGTTTGAGTTCTGGATCCAAATAGGCCTGAAATAATCCTGAATAGTTCAGTTACATGAGCCAATAAATCTGTATTTTTGAGCCAAAGTGAACTTCTGATATTTGTAACGGAAAAACCCCTAACCTCTCTAAGCCTCACTCTTCTCACTTGCATAGTGGAAGTGATAAAATGAGAGGATTAAATAGATTTGTACATGTCCCTCAGAGTAATGTTCTAGAATGAGTTCTTCACCCATTGGCAGCTGTTCTTGGTGGTGCACCGAACTAATTCCCAAGACTCTCTTGGGCAGGTTTAATAAGGATATTTAAGGCTGAGGAGAGGCCTAATTAGAGGCTGTACATGGGTGGTGGCCCACACATCTCCCCTTGCTCATCTCACTGATGACAAGATTCTGGCTTGGTTATACAGGATTTCAGAAAACAAAAGGTCCTTACCTCAGCTTTCCAACGTTTTTTCACTTCCATGTAGACATCCACCAGCTCATCAATCTCCTTAACGGATGTCTCAGGAGTGGTGTGCAGGGGGACAATCACGAAATCCTTAACAGCTGATGAGCAGGAGAAAGCAAGAAGTCACATATTTCTTCCATCCAGGTCACAGGAAGCCTGCTCTAGGGCAACAGGTCTTCCTCGGAGGCATGGGTTGTGTGTGGTGTCTGGGTTCCCCAATTTTCAGAAGGTCCAGCCAGCAGCTGAGATTGGTGTGGCGCTGTAGAATCAGCACTGGACCACAAGGTCGGTTTGAACTGCAAAGTGGCAGTTCAAACCCACCAGCTGCTCCTCGGAAACACTACACAGAGTCACTAGGAATCAGAACCAATTCAGTGACACTTAACAACAACAACAACAACAACAGAGTCGTCATAGTCGCCTGTCTCCCACCTGCCCTTCTTGACAACAGAGAAAGCTGTGAGACAGTGTTAGTTGCTGATATTATGGATGTGTTTGTTTTCTCATTTTCTACAAATAACGTGTGTTCCGTTTTTGTTTTTATTTTTTTTTAAATAATTAGCTTGTTCAGTTTCGGGACTAATGAAAAAGAAACAATTTTTATTCTTCTTTTATAACTAGTGGGTGTGGGAAGAGAACATTACATTCCATGTATAAAAACCTTGCCCCAGTAGGAAGGGGAGAAGAGAACCCAGGAGTGGGGATGAGATTCAGCCACACTGTGCCACCTCGCCCACCTGCTACCAGCACCTGCTGACTTCTGAGCATCACCTCTTAGGGCTTTACCCTCATCTGCTCCTGAATCTCCACTCCTACTTTAGGAGTTAGAGTCCTGGTGTGGTGCTGTTAATGCGCTGGACTACAAAGTCGGTTTGAACCACAAGGTCAGCAGTTTAAGCTCACCAGCTGCTCCCTGGAAACCCTATGCAGGGTCATTATGTGTAGGAACCAACTCAATGGCAACTCAAGTGGGGAACCAGCACTTGAACCCAGGCATTCTGTCTCCAGGACCCACAGTCCACTCCCCCATCCTCTTCTTGGTCTCCCTAGAACCTCCTTCCAGTTCCTAACTTTTTTGTTCACTGTTCCTTCTGCCTGATCACCCCATCTAAGGTGAAACTCATTATTCTAAGCAACTAGTTTCCTCCCTTCATGCTCTGAAATTGTTTTCTTTGCTCCTTTGCTTGGCCTACTAAAATGTAAGCTCTCTGAGGGCAGGCTTATCTGTGAGTAGGCTCTCTGAGGGCAGGCTTATCTGTGTTTTATACCTTTGTGGCTACAGTACATTGGAGGTGCTCAAAATCGTTTGGAGGGCAGGCTTATCTGTGTTTTATACCTTTGTGGCTACAGTACATTGGAGGTGCTCAAAATCGTTTGCTGTCTGAATGCATGTATGCATGAATGAATGAATGAAAGATCAATAGCTAAGTCCATCTTTGATCCCTGATAGAGAGGGCATATGAGAGAAACAACACCAACACGAGTAGTAGTGTCCCAGGGGAGGAAGGAAGGGGCATGGGCCAGGGAGGAAAGGTAGAGGTTCAAGAAAACAGGTTTGTTTAGCAGTTCACAAAGGCTCCTCTTTAAGAAGAATGACGTAGGGAGGCCCTGGTCAGCCTCATGTGAATCGTGTGTGTGACAAAGACGATATGAAGTCCCTACCTCCTTGTGTAATTTTCTCACTGTTCTCCCATATTTGTTTTCCTGTGTAAGTATTTTGTCTGTCAGCTAATTAACTCTGGCCAAAAATAGCTAACATGATAGGTCAGGATGTTTATATTTGTATTGTATAAATGTGGGTGTGTAGACTTACAGCTCTACATATATTTATTAAGCCATTAGCGGTCTCCCTTATTACACTAAGGTCACAAGTTTAGGGACCTTGTCTGTCTTGTCTAGTGCCTAGAACAAGGCCTGGAACGTAGTAGGTACTAAATTAAGATTTGATTCTATGTTGTTCCAAGGGAGTCAGAGTAGCACAGTGAGTTGTACTGTTAACTGCAAGGTCAGTGGCTCAAACCCACTGTCTGCTCTGTGGGAGAAAGATGAGGCAGTCTACTCCCATAAAGATTTCATTCTGGAAACCCTATGGGGCAGTTCTACTCTGTCCTATGGGGGTCTCTGTGAATCATAATTAACTCAACAGCAATTCTTTTTTAATGTGATTGCACACTAAATTTAATTCTTGGTTTCCCACTGAGTGCAGCATCATGGTTAAGACCATGGGGGCCTGAGATGGCAGCTTTGGTTAAAACACCAGTCCACCCACCAATAGCTGGGAATCCTTAGGCAGGTGAATTCATCATTTTAAACCTCACCATCCTTAACTGTTGTTGTTGTTAAATGCCGTTAAGTTGGTTCCGACTCATAGCCATCCTGTATAGGGTTTCCAAGGTTTTATGACTTCCTGGGAGCAGAGAGCCTCATAAAGTAGAACTAATCCTAGTTTCTACTGTGTAGGATTGTTGAGAGAATTCTAGGATGTATGATAAGGTTTCTGAGACTGTAAATCTTTGTGGTGGGTTTGAACCACCAACCTTGTGATTAGCAGTCCAGTGCTTATCCTATGGTACCACCAGGGCTTGTTATACCTGTTTGATGGCTGACACTGAATCAGGGATCAATCATTTGTTAGCAGCTGGGAACCCTGGTCGTACAGTGGTTAATCCAGATGTTTGAACCTACCAAACCACTCCATGGGAGAAGGTCTGGTGGTCTGTTCCAAGAAAGATTAGATTATAGCTTAGAAAACCCTCCAGGGTTGTCTTATTCTGTCACATGGGTTCTCTGTGACTTGAAAATTGACTTGACGACATCTAACAACAAAAACAGCAGTGTATATTAGGAGTCCCTGTTGTTGGTAAGTGCTGTCGAGTTGGGTCCCACTCATATTAATCCTGTATAGAGTTTCTGAAAAGCAAGTGGTGGATTTGAACCTCCAACCTTTCAGCTAACTGTCCAGTGCTTATCCTATAGTACCACACCAGGACTCTTGGCTGGTACAAATGGCTAGTGTGTTTGACTGATACCTGAAAGGTTCAAGTTCACTCAGAGGTACCTCAGAAGAAAGGCCTGGTGAGCTACTTCTGAGGGGAGGGGATCAGTCATTGAAAACTCTAAGAAGTACAGTTGTACTCTGACAAACATGAGGTCTGAGTTGGGATCAGCTAGGCAGCAACTGCAGCTGTATAAGTATCACTCTGGTAGCGTAGTGGTTATGAATTGGGCTGTGAACCTTAAGGTTAGCGGTTCGAAACTACCAGCCACTCTGCGGGAGAAAGATGAGGTTTCTACTCCCGTAAAGATTTACACCCTCGGAAACCCTGTACAGGGTCGCTATGGGTCGGAACTGACTCGACGGCACTTAACAACAACAACAACATTGTTAAGTTCAGGATGTAATCCATTTGGATTTCCTCTCTACCCTCATTGTGAAGGAGAGGAGACAGTGACTGGAAAGAATCTAAGAGTCTAACCTGGGAACTCATCTCTTCTAGCCATCTCGTGAGATGATGGGGAATAAGGAGTTGCAGTAAATTATTTCCAGTAGCCTAACTGTTTCAAGGAGTCCTGGTGTGGTGCTGTGGGCTAATGCATCACACTGCAAAGTCACTTGAACTGCAAGTTCAGTGGTTCAAGCTCACCAGCTGCTCCCTGGAAACCCCATACAGGGTTGCTATCAGTCGGAATTGACTTGACGGCACTTAGCAACAACAACAACAACTGTTCCAAAGAGACTAGAAATACCACTGATTTCAGAGGTGGGACTCAGGCTGAAGAGGTCTTGAGAGATGACATTTTGAGAAGTGAATTTGGTACCATCAAACTAAACAGCCTCTACATTGAGGTATTAAAAGATGTTTTTGGTTGGCTCCCTAAAGCTCTTACATGGACTTTTGTCATGAAGCTGTAGAATAAACACTGGACTTTGAACTACAAGGTCAGCAATTCAGACCCACCAGCTGTTCCTCAGAAACCCTATACGGGGTCACTCTGTGTCAGAATTGACTCGAAGGCACTTAACAACAACAAAGATGCTACATAAACCCTGAAATGACACGGCACACTTGGGACCGCTGCCCATTCATGTGGTCTCTGAGGAGGTCTCACCGGTGTGGGGTGACTGAAACCAGATCACAAAGGGCTCCCTGGAGAACACGTCTTCATCACCATCCTGATCATCATCGTAGTGGTAGCTTTTCTTTATAGACACCAGCTTTTCCCTAAAAGAGAAAAAAGAAAGCCCTCCAAACTGATTCCCTGCTGTTTTCTTTCTTCTTTCTAGAAGAAAAGACTTCCGGCTGCCAAGACTTCATTAGCCTTCAGAGCAAGCTCAGACCCTAGAAGGGATCTTTATTAGCTTGTTTAGTGTGGGAGAAAGGTGAGGCTTTCTGCTCCCATAAATATTTACAGTCTTGGAAACCCTGTGAGTTGAAATTGACTTGACAGCACCCAAGAACAACAATGCTATACACAGCAGAGCATGCTCCATTCAACAGTTACTGCAGATACACTTCAGGGACATTGATGACATTTCCCAAGTTGTACAACCATTCTTAGTCACCCTATTAACATAAATCACAGCCCTCTAAGCTTTCTATCTTCTCTTTTGAGTTGTAGTTGCCAAACTGATCCCACATACATAGTTCTTGAAAGGAACATGGTGCTCAAGGTAGACATTCTTTACTAAGCAAGGTAAACAATTGTTTATTTTAGGAAAGACTTCAGGGGATATTTTTGGTTTAAGGTTTGAAGATTATCTCTGGGCAACAGCTTCAGGAGTTCATCCAACCTCCTTGACTCCAGAAAGTCTAGATTCCATGAGAATTGGAAATTTTTCCTGGAGGCAATCTTTTGTCCAAGAGCAAGTCTAATAAACTCTTCTCAGTAATGATCAGAGCCCTTTGAGAGCTGAAGGCCTGAGATGTAGTCCTTTTCTGGGGGCACCCACAGATTAACGTTCAGACTTAACACAGACTACTAGCAGAAAATAGACAAGAACATGAGTTTCAGGAGTCAGTCAAATGAGGCAGCTTGGGTTTCCAGCCCTGGGTCAGAACTTGATTATGAAAAATGGAGAACCACTGATCTAAGCAACCATTTGATGCCCCTAACAAATCAATGATAGTTAGGAAGCTGTTACTTTGCACCAGCTCCAATTTTGACAGCAATCATTATGATGAGTACTGAGAATTGATTAGAAAGCATAATCAGGTTTTGAGGGAAAAATCAGACATGGTTGTGAATTCAATTCAGAAACATAATTTATAAATGAACCATGTTACAGGTGCAGAGATTATACTTACTTATAGAGAAAGGCATACTGTTCTTTATATGTATTTCTTCCCAGGCGAGAGCTAATCACATAGTTATATGTTGTGCCTCTTCTTGAGTTTCTAGAAAACATAAGGATTTGTCATTGAATCTTAAAGAATAAACATCTCCTCACTGCATAACATTCCCTTCTCTCCAGTCTGCCCCCATAGCCCCAGTGTCATCATGGGGAAGGGCTCCAGTTCACCCTAACCTTTGTTGAATGGTCACAGTTAATTGGGAATGTCACATGTCAAAATGTTTACAGCGATTATTCCAGGTCCTCCTCTTTATAGCTTGCAAGTGAAGATACGGGATTTGAACTCAGATCTGACTCACTGAAAAACCCATGTATTTTGTTCTGCACCTCTGACCCTTGAGACCATAGATGATTTAGCACAGGAGTCCCAAATCCCACTAGGGTCCATGGCTGTGAATGGAGCGCAAGCTTTTTGGTGGAGTCAGGCACACTGGGTCACCCCCTCCATCTACTATCCTTGCATTTATTACATGTAAGATTCCTAGAAATACTTTAGGTAGACATTCTCCCCAACTCTGAAAACTACCAAGCATTTTTTTCACAAATCTTGGAACTGTGACTTCAAATCAGCTGTTCTTTATATCATAGGGTCTGGGATACAGCTCTGGAGTCCCACTAGGGAAACTAAACTCTCTCTCTGTGTTTTCCAAACCTACTGATAACTCCATCCTGGTCAGTACCTGACACAGCTTCACTCCATCTGCCCACAGAAAGACCTGGGGCAAAAAGCTGGCTAAGAGGATAACTTCATTAGACATGCAACACCATCCCTCAGAAACCCAAGAATTCAAGGGAAACAGACACAGATGATAATCCTGGATCCCTTAGCATCAAGCGAAAGGATAAAGAATTAGATCAAACATTAGTATCTCTATGCTGAAGATTGAGTTTCAGGCTCTTCTGATATTAATTTTGGTCTTTTCTTTCTTTCTTGTCTTTTTGATGACATTTTGCTTTCTTCCTGTATGATGTGGTTGATGTCATCCCACAACTCTTCTAGTCTTCACTCATTAGTGTCTAATGCATCAAATCTGTTCTTGAGATGATCTCTAAATTCAGATGGTCATATTTTGGCTCCTGTGGACTTGTGTTAATTTTCTTCAGCATCAGCCTGAGTTTGCATAAGAGCAATTGATGGTCTGTTCCACAGTCAGCCCATGCTTAGTTTGGCTGATGTTATTGAGTTTTTCCAGTGTCTTTTCCCATACATGTAATCAGTTTGAGTCCTGTGTATTCCATCTGGTGAGGTCTGTGTGTATAGTTGTCTTTTATGCTGTTTAACAATGGTATTTGCAATGAATAAAGTCATTGGTCTTGCAAAATTTTGTCATCAGATCTCCAGCATAATTTCTACCACCAAGGCCATATTTTCCAAATATTGATCTTTCCTCTTTATTTTCAACCTTTGCATTCCAATCACTAGTAATTATAAATTCATCTTGATTGTGTGTTTGATCAATTTCAGACTGAAGAAGTTGGTAGAATTCTTCAACTTCAACATCACTGGCTTTAGTGGTTGGTGTGTAAGTTTGAATAATAGTGGTATTTACTGGTCTTCCTGTTGTTGTTTCTTTTGTTCTCAAGTGCCATCAAGTTGGTTCCTATTCATAGCAACCTTGTATAGGGTTTTCAAGGAGCAGCAGGAAAGTTTGAACCACTAACCTTGCAATTCAAGCAACCTTGTGGTCCAGTGCTTATCCTACAGTGCCACACCAGGACTCCACAGACAGTGTTGTACTTCAAGATAGATTTTGAAATGAAGCTTTACTCCATTCGCATCATCATAGTCAACTCAGCTTTGAGCAGACAGCTCTTCCCCCATTGTATTTTGAGTGCCTTCCAACCTGGGGTTCTCTTCTTCTGGCACTTTATCTGACAATATTCTGGTGCTATTCATAAGGTTTTCAGCAGCTAAACATTCAGAAGTAGCCTGGCTCTCCTTCTTCCTGCTCTGTGTTACTCTGTAAGCTTTGCTGAACCCTGTCCACCATGGGTGACCCTGCTGGAGTTTAAAATACTGGTGGCATTTCTTCCAGCATCCTGCAACAGGCAAGCTACCAGTGTGACAAACTACCAGACAATGTTGGTTTGTTTCTTGCAATTAGAGACATACACATCAAAACAACAATAAGTTAACACATCATCCTAGCAATAAAAGCAAAGTTCAAAAACTAGAAAACAAAAAGTGTTGGTGTGCAGAATTTGGAATATTCACGCACTGAAGTGGCTCTGTAAAATGGTACAAGCACTAAGGAAAATGGTAGGGCACTTCCTTGAAAAGCTAGAAATAGAAATACAGTATGATCCAGCAATCCCATTACTATGCATGTACATAGAGAACTAAGAGCCATGACATGAATATATGTACATATATATGCATATATATATATATATATATATAGT